TTTTTTTTTAATATCTACTGGTTCATAGTTTGGCAAGTGTTGAATTGTCACTTTAAACTGTGGCTTATTACCTTTTGAGAGCTTTGTGAGGATTAGGAGGACTGTAAAGCTTAACTGACACACACAGACAAAGTAAAGTAGCACTGTGTGACCTGGCCTCTGCTCTGCTCATGATCTCAGACAAACCTCGCTCTGCAAGGCATTTAACAGAACCATTTGTATCGATTGAGTTTTCTCCTTCTTTGTCAAACTGTTCTTTTGTGCTTGGTTATTTCCGTTGAAAGAACCGGTTTTTCAGCTCTGCCCCTATTGACCTGGACTGAGTAGCTTTCAATCAGCGGCAATGGCCGATTTGTTTTCACTAGGCATAATATGACAAAATCATACAAGTTTGAATTGTGAGATCTAAATTAAGAAGTTCTGCAAACCATGCAGGGACCCTGGTCAAATGCATTGCTTCCAACTCAAGAGCATACTGATTAGGGCTGCCACAATTTGTCGACAAGTCACGATTATGTCGACTATCAAAATCGTCGATGACAAATTTAATAGTCGACGCGTCGTTTGAAGCTTTGTAAGATCCCGAAAGACGCAGGAATAAATAGTATGATTTAAGAGTGTAATAACGGACTGAAACAGAAGGTGGCAGCACTGCATGTACAAAGATGCCAGCTGCCGTTAAACCCCAAAGAAGAAGAAGAAGCAGTCTCCAGTATTATAGCTGTGTCCAAATTTACGGGCTGCATCCTTCGGAGGCCGCATTTATAGGCCGATTACGTTACAGCGACGCAACGAAGGCTTTCCAAATTCGAAGATTCCTCCAAATGTGAGTCGGGTGTATCCTTCTTGGCCCAACCTATCCCAGAATTCATAGCTCGGCTCAGCCTATTCCAGTTTCCAACAATGGCGGCAGCTACTTAGTTTTAATATTACTCTTTCTGGGTCACAAAATAAACGTTTAACATATTTTCAGGGGGAATATAGCTGTGTAAACTTCAAATATCTGCTCGGTTTATCAAGACATCACATATTTTTAAAAGTGCCCCAACGTTTTCGGAGACGTTTGTTACCCACCCGCTCGATAGCTGGAGGGTTGAAGGCTCACTGGAGCCGGCGTAAAACACCAGACTCCCTTCACTACCTGTTATATTTTAGATGGCAAGGAGCAGACGCCTGAGTTTATTAAACTCCACCGAGACAATCTGCAAAATTCATTAAAATTTAATAAACTATCATCTTGTCTTTATTTTTAGTTAGCACCTTAAACAGTTAAAGCTGTAAGCTAATGCTTGTTAGCAGATGCTGCTGGTGCAATAAGCTGTACGTTTTACGTCCAATGGATGATGATCTGATTAGTCGACTAATGGCAAAAATAATCGGTGACTAGTCGACTATCAAAATAATCGCTTGTGGCAGCCCTAATACTGATGCATTTGTAACCTCTGTGCCATCCCTCTACCAGCAGCCCATAGATATGGCTAACATACAGGCAGGTATAAACTGTCATTCTTGAAAGCCCAACTGAAAGCTAGTGGGGGTGTTCGGGGTGCAGATGGAGAGCATTTAGCCGATGATGGCCTACAGTACAACTCCCTGCTTTGCTGGCAGATTCCCATTTTCATGCTGTCTGCGTGTGTCGGTTGGACAGAGTGCTCTCTTATGTGCTGTAAGGGAAGTGTTGGTTAGGATTGTCTGCAGGGAAACTGTAACTTCTCTGTCTAAGGCATGAAGCCTCCCTGGCACTCTCCTCATGGAGGATGAGTTAGGAATACAGAGACTGTGT